CAATGCCTGGCCATTTTTTGGTTGCAGCCATCATTGTTGTTTGGCGGGCCCAGGCTGGGGATTCGAACCGCCACCTTAGGTGTATGTGGCTGGCACCTCAGCTGCTTGAGCCACAGGCGCCGAGCCGACGCTCAGCTATTTTTAGAGACAGGGTCTCACTCTTGCTCAGGCTGGTCTCAAACTCCTCAGCTCACGTAATCTACCCATCTTGGCCTCCCAAAGTGCTGGGTTTACAGGCGTGAACCACCATACCTGGCTTATGTTTAAGTATGTTTTGAATAACTTGGGTTTGTGAACCTGTATTTTTCACCCTACATTTTATGAACCTAAATATATATAAAACATTTCTAATGAAAAATTTATTATCTGAAGTGAGTAAAATACATACTAGAGCTCAAGTTAGTACAAAAATTGAATACAACTTCTCATTACTAATGTTTTATGTTGGCCAGGGTGAAATAAATGTAAATATATTGAATTATATGTAAATATATTTTAAATATATTGGATTAAATACAACTACTAAAATTACTTTTACTTCTTTTTACTTTGTCTGATGGGGCTATTAGAAAATCAAAAGTTACATATATGGTGCATACGTACATTTTATTTCTTTTGGATAGCACTGGCCTAACTCTCATTATGCTACTGTCAGACTCTTGTATCAATAGTAGCCTCCTGACTGGTTTCCTTACCTAGAATCTATAATTCATCTCCTATACTGTATAAGTTGATTTTGTAATTCTTGTGCTTAGGATCCTTCCTTAGTTCCTTATAGCTATTGAATGAAGATCATTCAGATTTTTTAGCCTAATCATATAAAAATATTGCCTTTATTTTATTTCTGCCCATACCTTTCCAGCCACAGATTAATACTTGGCCACAGAGATTCTCTGTAATGTACACATTAAATATCTAGTTTTAAATTATTTAACTTCCTGGTGAACATTCAGGGTGAATTAATTGCTGAATATAGCTCTGTGTTCTGTTTACTATTCCCAGAACTTAGGTTCTCTCTTTGCTTTGGGTTTTTATACTTGATTTCTCTTCTTCTCGAAAATGTTTTCTCCTTGCTCTCTTTTTTTTTGAGACAGAGTCTCACTTTGTCACCCTCAGTAGAGTGCCATTGCATCATAGCTCCCAGCAACCTCCAACTCTTCGGCCCAAGTGATTCTCTTGTCTCAGCCTCCCAAGAAGCTGGGATTACAGATGCCCACCACAATGCTGTTTTTAGAGATGCAGTCTCGATCTTGCTCAGGCTGGTTTTGAGTCTGTGATCTTAGGGCAATCCACCTGCCTCGGCCTCTCAGAGTGCTAGGAGTACAGTTGTGAGTCCCTAGGCCACTGTGCCTGGCCTTCTCCTTGCTCTGTGACAAGCTCCTTCTTGCTTAGACATTACATCCTGAGGGAGGGCTTTTCCTGCTCTCTCCTATCCTTCCTCTGTTCTACCTTATTTACTTCCACGATAGCCTGCACATACACATATGTGAAATGGGTTAGGTGGAATTTGAATCCGGCTCTTTCAAGTATAAATTGTGGGATCATATGCAAGTAATAATCTCTTTGAGCATCAGATTCCTCATCTTTATATAAAAATAACAGTAGTAGGGTACCCATAGCTCCGTGGTTAGGGTGCTGGCCACATGCTCTGGGGCTGGTGGGTTGGAACCTGGCCCAGGCTTGCTAAAAACTAAACAACAAAAAAGAAATAGCCAGGTGTTGTGGCGGGTGCCATAGTCCCAGCTACTAGGGAGCGTGAGGCAAGAGAATCTCTTGAGTTCAAGAGATCGAGGTTACTGTGAGTGCTACGGCATTCTGTAGAGGCTGACAAAGTGGGACTCTGTCTCAATAAAAAAAAAAGAAATAATGGTAGTTTAACCTCTGTGTCGTTGTAAAAAGTCTAGAACAATGCCTGGCACATAAAAAGCACACAATACATTTTAAGTTAAAAAGTAGCCATCAAATAGCCTTTTAATTCCCACCTCTTTTTAAGATATACATATACATACATACATATATACAGTCTAGGGGATTAAAATAAAGAAATTAAGACAGAAGAGATGAGATAAGAAGAATAAAATTAATCCAGTGGCAAAATTAATACATAGACTAAAGAGTCTTGCACAGTTACTGAAAGTTGGTTCCATATCTGGCTCTGAGTTTTCTGGAGCAAAGTGAAGAAGAAAATAAAGTTCAATTTCCAGATTCATGGCATCCATAAAATCACACTTGATCTTAGCCAAAAAGCTGGGAAGCAAAGTGTCCATAAAATCAGATACACGTTGCGGGTTTTTTTTTTTTTTTTTTTGAGACAGAGCCTCAAGCTGTCCCCCTGGGTAGAATGCCGTGGCATTACAGCTCACAGCAACCTCCAACTCCTGGGCTCAAGCGAGTCTCCTGCCTCCGCCTCCCAAGTAGCTGGGACCACAGGCGCCCGCCACAATGCCCGGCTATTTTTTGGTTGCAGCCATCATTGTTGTTTTGGCGGGTCCGGGCTGGGGATTCGAACCCGCCACCTTAGGTGTACGTGGCTGGCGCCTTAGCCGGTTGAGCTATAGGCGCCGAGCCGATGTTGCGGGTTTTTTAAAAGATTGTTCTTACAGGCTCTGCACCCGGAGCACAGTGGTTATGGCTCCAGCCACATACACAGAGAGTGAGCAGGTTTGAACCTGCCCCAGGCCAGCTAAATAACATTGGCAACTGCTACAGAAAAGATAAGCTGGGTATTGTGTGGTGGGTGCCTGTAGTCCCAGCTACTTCAGAGGCTCAGGCAAGAGAATCGCTTAAGCCCAAGAGTTTGAGGTTGCTGTGAGCTGTGACGGCATTCTAAGGAGGGCAGCATGGTGAGACTGTTTCAAAAAAAAAAAAAAAAAGATTGCTTCGTATAATGCTGCCTAATCCAAGTGGTGATATTGCTGGTGAATGGTCTCCAAAGGGCCAAAACAATGTGGTTTAGGTATGCAGTTTTTTTTTTTTTTGAGACAGAGCCTCAAGCTGTCCCCCTGGGCAGAGTGCCTGGCATCACAGCTCACAACAACCTCCAACTCCTGGGCTCAAGCGAGTCTCCTGCCTCCGCCTCCCAAGTAGCTGGGACCACAGGCTCCCACCACACTGCCTGGTTATTTTTTTTTTTTTGGTTGCAGCCATCATTGTTGTTTGGTGGGCCTGGGCTGGATTTGAACCCGCCACCTTAGGTGTATGTGGCTGGCGCCTAAGCCACTTGAGCCACAGGCATTAAGCCCAGTTCTTTTTTTTTTTTTCCCTTGAGACAGAGTCTCACTTTGTTGCCCTCGGTAGAGTGCTGTGGCTCGCAGCAACCCCATACTCTTGGGCTTAAGTGATTCTCTTGCCTCAGCCTCCTAAGTGTTGAGATTACAGGGGTGAGCCACCACATTTGGCTCCATGTTTTTATATATAACTTTCTTTCTTTCTTTTTTTTTTTTTTTTTGAGACAGAGTCTCACTTTTTCTCCCTGGGTATAATGCCCTGATGTCATCATAGCTCACAGCAACCTCAAACTCTACTTGTAGAGATGAGGTCTTGCTCTGGCTCAGGTTGGTCTCAAATTCCTAAGCTCAGGCAATCCACCTGCCTCAGCCTCCCAGAGTGCTA